ATACCATGGTGATCTGCCTTGTTAACGCAAGGTGGCTAAGTGCAAGGAATTTGTCTGGAAGGTATTCCGTTACAATTGGTCGGCCATTGCTCTTTGCAAATCTTTTTCTCTGTCCCAAGGAGGAACGAGTTTTGGAGTGTAACGCGCGACTGCGTAATTTCAAGCTTTATTCGGTCGGGTGATATTGTTAAAATGAAGAATTTCTTTCCTCGACATTTGTCAGTTTCGCTTGTACTCTTTTCATTATATTTGTTCACTACATCTCAAACGGGTGACTCTTGAGCTAAGCAGCTGTTCTAGCCCTTGTAAAGGTGCCGGTAGCCTGGCCGTCAATGTGTCATTTCACTCGCCTAAGGAATCAAATCTCTCAGGCATTCACATTCAATGAATCTTATTATCAAAACAAACTTGTTCAAATTAGTTGCTCTTTCCAAAACGGCTTTTATCTTAAAATTGTATTCCTAGTTAAGATCTGAGGCAAATCAGTAAAATGGGATGAGCGATTTAAAAAGTGTCCGGCACAATGTTGGTGGATTCGATGTGAAACTAAGAAAGAGATGAACAGATGTCAGTCAAATGAAGCAAGAAAAACTATTTATTCGTGGTGACAGCATAACACATAGTTTACAGAGTGGCCAATTGTCGTAGTAACTGAACATCTGCACTTCACCGAATCCGCCAAATGAGTTGGTCAAAACAGCAAATAGTAAGTACTTAGTATCATCTTAGCAAACTATTTTCTCACAGCAGGATAAGATCAACGTGTACTTTTCTGCATCTCACTAAGTAATTCAGGATAACTTGGTATTATCGACTGAGTACATGATGTAAATTGGCCACCGTAGAGAGTTTTCTAAAGCTGGAGTTTCGAACGTTAGCCCTTCGTCAGAGGGAGTCAGTATAATTCCCAACATCAAAATAAGGAACAAATAAGGTATTGAAATTAGATACACAAGCTCTTAATTGGTGGCAAATTTGTATTTTTACAATGGGCATGATCATGTATTTAAAATTTAAGCCTTGGCTATTCAGTCAAACAATGTGTGGAATCTAGAATCTTTACTTTGTGTCGGTAAAGGGTTCTAACGTCGAAACCACTGCTCCAGATTTTCCCCTTTTTTTTTCATCAATATCCTTGTCTTTTTTCTGACAGGCGAAAGATGGCTCTGTTACTCAAACCAGCTGGTAGTCTCGTACCCAGACCTTCAACGGCCAAGCGGTTACATTTAAGTTACAGTTACACGGTAGGATCTGAATCTGGGTACGAGATTAACCAACTAGTTCCCTGACCCACGCTGCAGATCATCCAATGGGTACTAAACTTCGTTCAAGTCATCCAAGAGCCAATCACAAGTCGCCTGAAGGCATATGATCATCATAATAACTAATTATGCAGTGTCAGAAACAACGCTTGGTAATTTGCGCGTAAGTGCAGTTCATCATTAGATACCCTCATCCGGTCATCCCTCACAATATCTGCGAGTAGCACAAATCAACCACGGACAAAGGAAGCATATCAACGACGGATTTTCGTAACATCGAAAGTAAGTGAACTTAAGTACTGGGTTGCCAAGTTTTTTTACTGTGTGAAGTATAAATATTGTTGTTTGGACGTATTTTAGTGAATTCAACACTGCATTCGCTATTAACTTTAAAGCGTAATGATTTAAGTACAGCTGTTCTTCCTTTGGAAAGAAAGACAATTATAAACTAAAAAATAGACTATTCGCGTTTTCAAAATAAATTTAAAGCTGAATCGACACAAATGCATTTATTTTTTCGATTGTTTAATCAATGACTTTGATGTTGCAATATTTTGTTATTGAAGAATTCTGACCGCTTTAAAGCGAAGTCTTCGCTTAAATTTTTAGGATTGTGTTTTTCAAACAAAGTTTTTGGCCGATTGCAAAACCCGGTGGCTTTTTTTCATTTATTAATGCTTTTAGTTTTGTTGAAACACACGGTCAACTTGACATTTTTTAGAAAAGCAGAAAGTTTCCACGGTGATCAGCAATAAATTGATTACATATGAAAAAAGTTTGGGCAAACACAACCGTCTTGATAAACGTCTATCTAAAATTATCTTTTTCATTGCTCTTAATGGTAAGGAACATGTTGGACTGATTTTTAACTAAACTTTAGCGCAGTGCGAAACTTATAGTGTTCTCGCACGGTAGCTGAACATCATTACTTACGAGAGAGACAGTTTGCGACATAATCAATTTGCTTCGTCTCTTACTGGCCCGTTATTCAGTCACCAACTATTCCTCCGTCAGTCGTTGGTATACAAACGGTCGAAAGACTTTTAACAAACATTCTTTTAGGCGAGCAAGTCAATCCACTTTTCGATACTTTTCACCGTAAATTTATGCAGTTACTGGTTGCCTAAGCAATTTAACTCCACAGAAAAAAGGTAATTGCAATTTCTCCGTAAGCTGATTTGGTGCAGTTCATATACAAACTAGATCCTTTGAGTGGAAATGGTATTTACGCCAGCCGAAAATAATCACACATGAATTTTTAATCTAAATCGCATACGCAATCGATTCTTCTGTTTCAAAATAACCTGTGTCACCTTTGACTTTGAATAAATGGTTCTTGCTTCGTTTCTAGACGCTTTGTATCGTTGATACGCAGTTTTGGTATTTAGCCTATGAATTGAAGATTCTGATTGAAGTTTGATTGGTTTGATCACTTTTGTCTTTGATAAAATTTCCGCATACTAAGCAGACGGGGAGAACGGGAAGAGGAGTAAGTCGAGCTGAGCATCCACGCAAATAATCCTTCGGTGTAATTGTTGTTAGGATAATTAAGCCTGCCGGTGTTTTCAGTAACTCGCCGCTCATGCGAGCATGTATATTATCCACTGATATGACGAAGCTGTGAGGGCGTATTATTATTTGGGTGGGCAGTCGGAGGCAAATCTCGCCTCTTTCATCTGGACCACAAACCTGGATAACATTAGTACTTGGAATGGAGTTTGATTGTGCGAAGCTTGGCAACCGAATTCGCCACGTTTGCAGTCGTAGATAT